CCCCCCAAAGCCCGGCTGGGAACGCCCCGAAGGAGCCGGGACATCCCGCGCTGGGCACGCACAGCCCGGCCTGGCGGGGAAGGGCGGGATCCCTGCCGGGCTGCGCTCCCGCCGGGGGAAAGGCAGGAATAACGGGGCTTCCCGGTGTCCCGAGGGTCAGGGGGAAGGTGCTGCCGCCACGGGGGCTGCCTGGGGCCGGGACGCGGGGGGAACCCTCAGTAGTTGTGCTCCCCGCTTCTGGTGGCTGGAAGGAGCTTCTCTTGGGTCTGGAGCACTTGGGTGCTGCTGCTCCTGCTGGGAACACACGTTTTTCCTTCACAGGGCAGAGCTCTGAAAGGAGAACTTCGGGGCAGGGATGGGGAACTCTTGTTTCATGAGCAGTTTCTGAGCTGAGGGGATACGTCGTGGTTGGGAAATAGTTGGAGCTGTTTCTGTTCTTTCAAGGTGGCTTGGCTTTCCCTTGAAGCAGCTTCTTTTGGTGTTGGAAGCACAGGAGTTCTCTGCTGTCTGTGCCTTGTTTATTTGCATTTCTCTTCTTTCCTGCTCATTCTCTTTGTACCTTCTCTGCCAACTCCAGTGCACAAGAAGGCAGTTGAGAGAAAAAGGAGCAGAATGGGCAGTAAGTCAAGCAGTTAAGGAGCCTGTGTTGCTCTCAGCAAGGGTAACTGCCTGGGTATTAGCAAATAGACGTGAAGGAACTGGTTGTAGTGAAGTGAAGAGCACGTTTGTTACCTGACAGCCTCTGAAGTTCCTGTTAGGATGTCAGAGGAAAGGGAAACTGGGGTGTCCTTCAAGGCTTTTGGAAGAGAAGAAAAGCAGCCTCATGGATTGAAGGGGTAGGGATGGTCTTGCCTGGCATAAAGTCACCGTGGTCAAGGTCCTCTAGTTGTGGTTTCTCTTGTACCCTGGACTTCACTCACAGATCTCCATACCCAGCAGAAGGTTGTGTAGCTGCTTCCCAAGGTTATTGCCGTGAGTGAAGCTTTGCAGCACTAGGTGCATGTCAGTGGTGGGTGCTGTCCAGGCAGGTGACAAGGAGCTCTCCTAGAGTTTACAGCTGTCACATCACTTACAGTTCTGCTGGGCCTGGTGATGGTGGAGGTGTGACCCACCACCCCAGGCTCTCTTGACACAGTTTTCTCCCACCTTTGGCCAACATCATCCATGGCTTCTCTTGCCCTTGCCTTTTTTTGATGTTGTGCCCTCAGCCAGGGGAGGGTGCACTATCAAACCATGGACCTCATGGCTGGGGCACCTGGGCAGACCATCAGCATCCCTGCTGGTGCTGTGGGCATGAGCCTTCAATCCGTGCTGAAATCCCTGCTGATAATTGTTATGTGGGTTCACCCCACCCCTGTCACCTTTATCAGGGAAGTCACTGTTCCATGTCTCTGATGTGGGGGATTTGGAGCAGGAAGAGTTCAGTGCCTTGGCTCTGATTGCTCCTGCTTTCCTGCCCTTTAAAAAGGTGATGAGTATGATGATACTTCTTTCACTTTGAAGGCAAATATCTACCAGCCTAGGTTTGCATTTTGGTTTGGTACCTCCTAAACCCTGAGCCTCATCCCTTCTGTTGTGCCTCCAGGACTGTGTGTGCTCAGCACCTGGGCTCTTCTGGCTCCCGCTGAGACGGAACAATGGGCTGAGCCTGTTCCTGGGATTTGGTGCTGTTGTTGAGCCTGCCAGCCTCTAGGGGTTGCTTCCTCCTTCCCTTCCCCATGGAGCCAGCATCACTGTCCTGCTCTCCAGAAAAGAGCAGAGGTGCTTGCAAGAGGGATTCCTGTTGCTGCAGATGGAGCAAAGAATCGTGGAATGGCTTGGGTTGGAAGGGACCTTAAAGCTCATCTAGTTCCAACCCCCTGCCTGGGCAGGGACACCTCCCACCAGCCCAGGCTGCTCCAAGCCCCATCCAACCTGCCCTTCAACTCTGCCAGGGATGGGGTGTATTGACTTTCTCTGGCCACCTGGATGCTTTTCTGCAGTTAATTTTTTCCTGCTTTTGGTCACAAAGGATAAGGTGCAGTCGATGGAAAGTGCTGCAACAGGACAGGCTCCCACCACCTGGGACAGGAAAAAGGGTGTAGGAACAAACCTGTGACAACAGGCACAGCACAGAGGAGCTGGGTGGTTGCAAGGTTGCTTTCTGTAGTCTGAAGTTTCCTTGTGCTGTGGGAATGCTGCTGCTGCTGTGATCTCCATGTGGAAAATGGAGGTGAGCACCCAGATGGTCTCTGCATCAGGAGACTCTGTGGCTGCTCAGGCTTCTTGTACCTGCAGTGATTTAATGGCTCTGTTCAGGTTGAGTATTAGGAAAAATTTCTTCCCAGAAAGAGTGGTGAGGCCTTGGAACAGGCTGCCCAGGGAGGTGGGGGAGGCACCGTCCCTGGAGATGTTCAGAAAAGGGGCAGACATGGTGTTTCAGGAGATGGTTTAGTGGTTAGGGGTGTAGGGTGGATGGTTGGACTTGATGATCTTGAAGGTCTTTTGCAACCTTAATGATTCTATGATTCACAAACAGGCAAGTTTTAAATATTCTTCTGACAACTGAGAGAGAGTGGCAGTGATTCCTGCCAGCAGCAGTGCTTGTCCTGCTGGGCTAAAGCCTGTTTGGTAACTGAAATCTTGCCTGGCATTCAGCAGACATGCCCACAGTTCTGTTTAGGTGTGTTCCATGTGCCACTGAGAGTGGAGCTTCTGGTTCTGGAGCAGCCATGTTGCAGGAGCTCAGCAGCAACAGTTACCTGGCACCAGTCTCCAAAATTTCAGTCTTGAAATCCAGGGACAATGTCAAGTGATGATTTTGCTGAGGCAGGAGGCTCTTACCTTGCTGGGCTGATGTGCTGGGGCAGATGGGCTGGCTCTCTGGTGGGAATTGGCAGCTGTCTGCTCTGCCAGTGAAACAGGGAGGTGTCTTCTTCACCTCCTTGCATCTGTCCCCTTCTTCAAGCCTTCAGAAGGCACAGAGGCCACCAGGTGACTTGTGCTGGGTCACATGTAGGAAGTCAGGGCACAGACACTCAACAAAGATCAGCTCTAACTTGGAAAAAAGTGGTTGCTTTACTCAAGCAGTGAGGGCTGTGAGCTGTGAGACTGGACACCAAGGGAAAAATCTGGGTATCCTGTAGGTGCAGCTGCACAGTTTGATAACAAAGTGACTTGAACATCTGTGGTTTCAACCAGAGGCCAGTTTTGGAGAGGAGCAGATGTGTTATTTCCAGCCACCACCCAGTGTGGCAGCAAACCCCTGCATTGCTGGGCTGCAGAGGGCTCTCTGTGAGCAGGAGGGTTAGAAATGACCTGGTCTGCTGGGATGGCTTGTGTGAGAAAAGAGCTGCAGTTTCACTTTGTGTGGAGAGACGTTTCATGTATCAGACATCCCTTACACATTCACTTTGGAGAAGAACACTTTTCCCAACCAATTCAGCATATTCCACCTGACTGAGCAGCAGGACCTAACAGAAAACACCTGGAGGCAGCACATTTCTCACAGCTCTGCTACTTTTAAGTGGATGTTGTGCTCACTTGGTCCTGCTTTTCTTTAGGTTCAGTGAATGAGAACCAGAGGCCATCAAATTCCTACAACGGAGACCTGAATGGGCTGCTGGTCCCTGATCCCATTGCAGCTGGAGATGGACCTGCTTTGGCCAAGCCAGTGCATCGCAGCATTTCTCTGGGAGCCCTGCAGGAGAAGCAAGTCATGTAAGTTTTGTCAAAGAAAGTGAGGAGAAAACCATGAAAAATGTAGTTGTGGTTAGACTGGAGACGTGCTCTGGGAACGTGACGTTTTGGGTTGAGTTGAGGAGGCAGTTGTGAGTCTGTGTGGTTGGTCAGAGCTTTTGTGAGGGTGAGGGAGTCATCAGGGTTGGAAGGAACCTCTGGAGGACATCTAGTCCAGCCCCCTGTTAGAGCAGGATCACCTACAGCAGATCCCACAGAGCCCACGTTGCCCTGTGAAGCTGTGGCTGCCCCATCCCTGGCAGTGTTGAAGGGCAGGTTGGATGGGGCTTGGAGCAACCTGGGCTGGTGGGAGGTGTCCCTGCCCATGCAGGGGGTTGGGACTGGATGATCTTTAAGGTCTTTTCCAACCCAAACCATTCTGGGATTTCCTGGTGACAGTTTGGAGCAAGGATGCTGTGAGAGCCACGAGCAGCATGTGCTGTTGTTGATGAGGTTCAGTGGGTTTGACTTTGGGCTCTTTGCACAATTGGGTGCTGAGTAGTGGTCAAAGCTGCTTTAACCAAATGTAGTTCTGTGCTCAGGTCAAACAGACTGGAGGCTCTGAAGCTGAACCAGGTGTGTTGCTCTCTCAAACCTGTGGTTTTGGTTAGAAGGGACCTTAAAAATCATCCAGTCCCACCCCTGCATGGGCAGGGACACCTCCCACCAGCCCAGGTTGCTTCAAGCCTCATCCAACCTGCCCTTCAACACTGCCAGGGATGGGGCAGCCACAGCTTCCCTGGGCAACCTGTTCCAATGCCTTCCTACCCTCATGGTGAAGAATTTCTTCCTAACATCTCACCTAAATCTTCCAGTTTCCACAGGGAAAGGAGCTTCCCAGCAGTAGTTCCTGTTTTCAGTCGCTCAGCTCACATCTCTCAGATGCACAGATGGCATTGGTGTTAAAATGATGAAGAGCAAATATCTGCCCTCTCTTCTCTTCCTGTGAGTCTTACCTGGTTTGTTTTCCCCTTTGTTTTTCTTCACAGCTGCCTTTCTGGTGATGACAGCTCCACTTGTGTCGTGATATCAGCAAAAGATGTGGAGATCGTGGCCAGCAGTGACTCCAGCATCACCAGTAAGGCCAGAGGGAGTAACAAGGTAAGGAGCAAGAGAAAGCAGAGTTCTGTTTCTTTTTTAGTCACATCAGCTCATGCCTGAGCATTAAAAACAGGAGATACCTTCTTCCTTCTTGTATTATAGGCGCTTGTAATTAGGTAGAAGTTTGTCAAAGAGCTTAACAAGATGGAAAGACTGGAGTGGAATTTTGTTGATTGCTACTATTATTTCAGAGTCTGGCCAAGTTATCCTCTTAATTTTCAGGAATAAGTCCACGATCTCAACCATAGGTGCCCTTCCCTCACAAACAAGTTTTTCCTGCTTGTTTCTCTCCTCACCATGGAGGGAGGGTTGCCCTTGGTATCCTGGCAGCCCCAGTGCTGCTGAGGGCTCCAGCCAGCAGGTCAGAGCTGAGACAGGAACCAGAGTTGTAGCAGAGCCCTCAGACCTGCTCAGAGCAAATGCTGATCATTAGGAGAGAGAGCTCTGCTCTTCATCCTCTTGGCACTTCTCCATACTATATCATTTGGTTTCTTGATGTACACTGAACTAAATATTTCACCTCTTTATCGAGGCTTTTCCATACATGATCCTGAAGGTCAAAGTGAAAGGGAGGATCATTGCCACAACTGCCACAGGATTCCTTCATTCTTTGCTTGCAGAGACAGTGCTTATCAAATAAAACCAGGACTCAGTTTCTTGTAAGGCAGCACTGAAACTAAGATGCCCACGTATTTCTGTACCTAACAAGTTTCCAAGAGCTAGGAGTCCAGACATGGTGCTAATTAAGAGGGAAAGGCTGCTCTGCTGTCCTTGCAGGGTCAAGCACTCTTCTGCAGCATGAGACATCCAGGGAGCTGCCTTCCTTCTTGCCATGGATTGAAATAGAATCAAAGAACATGCTGAGTTGGAAGGGACCCATCAGGATCATTGAGTCCAACTCCTGTCCCTGTGTAGGACACCCCAAGAATCACCCCATGGGCCTGAGAGCATCATGACTCAGGCAGGCCTGGTGCTGCGACCACTGCCCTGGGGAGCTAGTTCCAGTGCTCAGCCACCCTCTGGGGGAAAAACCTTTTCTGATATCCAACCTAAGCCTCCCCTGATGCAGCTTCCTGCCATTTCCCCCACTCCTGTCACTGGTCCCAGGAGTGAAGACATCAGGACCTGCCCCATCTCTTCCCCTTCTGAGGAAGCCACAGACTGCAGCCAGGTCAAGCTGAACAATCCCAGTGACCTCAGCTGCTCCTCATAAGACATCCCCTCCAGATCAGACCCATCCCCTCCAGACCCATCCCATCCATCAGCCTCCAGAACTCTCAACTTTCAGGCTTTCATTGTTCAACTCTCCCTGCCAACTGCTGCTTCTGAGAGTTCCCTATTCAGCATTCCAGCTCTTCCCTAGAGGAAGTAACATACTTGGCAGGTTTGTTCCAGGAAAAAGTTAATTCCAGACACTTCTCCTGTTTTGTTTTTCTCCTGAGCAGGTGAAGATCCAACCTGTCGCTAGATACGACTGGGAGCAGAAATACTACTATGGCAACCTGATAGCTGTTTCAAACTCCTACCTGGCTTATGCCATTAGAGGTGAGACACCTTCTTGTCTGGGGTGTGATTTGTCTTCCTTTGCTCTGTGTAAGCTCTGAAAGAGGCAACAGTAACTGGCAGTATTGGAAACACTTCTTGCAGTATCCAGATCAGGGTGCTGTTGTAGTGGGGATAAAGTGAGGAGGGAGGGGTTGGTGCTGTAGGAGATGTTGCACTGAGAAGAAAAGGTTTATCTGAAGTTAGAAATAAAAGAGAAGGGCTCAGTAGGGATGGAGGAAAAGTTGCAGGATTATATTGGTTTCACTAGGCAGTAGTGTGTTGTTCAGATTACTCCTCTAATTAAATATTTCTGGATCTGAACAAGCTCCACTTGCCTCTTGGTGACTGTTTTTCTCTAGTTACTGAAAATGAAATGGCAACTACGATTAATTTGCTGTCTTTGGAGCTCAGTCGTGGAGGTTTGGTGGCTTTGTCATCAAGGACTGACAAGATTTAGGCCTTGCATCTGACACGGGCATCTTTAGGGAGAGTAATCCCAGAAGCCAGGAGAAGTCAACTTCTGTTGAATTTTTTAAGAAGAGCAACTTAGACTTTGAGGTGCTTAAGAAGTTACAGAAGATATGAGGAGTCCAGCTGCCCCTTACAAGGCAGGGCAAGTCCTCCTTGATGCTGCTGTGCCAATCTTCTACACCAAAGCTGAAGAGGGCAGTGAATATTTGTGCATGCACCCTGGGTCTTGAGAGGGCTTCACGTGGTATCTGTTGGTAGGGATTTCTAGTGTGCTGCTGGTGATGGCTGAGAGCAGGATGGGTGCTGGAAGTGACAAGCCAGGCACTGGAAACAGGCAGTCCTGTTGGGCCAGCACTGTCCCCTTGTGGTCAGGAAGGCCAGTGGCATCCTGGGGGGCATCAAGAACAGTGTGGCCAGCAGGTCAGGGAGGTTCTGCCCCTCTGCTCTGCCTGGTGAGGCCAAATCTGGAGCACTGTGTGCAGGTCTGGGCTCCCCAGTTCATGAAGGACAAGGAGCTGCTGGAGAGAGTCCAGCCCAGGGCACTGAGAGGCTGAGGGAACTGGAGCATCTGCCTGTGAGGAAAGGCTGGGAGAGCTGGGGCTGCTCAGCTGGAGAGGAGGAGCCTGAGGGGGGATCTGATCAGTGCTGGTCAATATCTGCAGGGGGGGTGTCAGGAGGTGCCAGACTCTTCTCAGGGGGGCCCAGGGACAGGACAAGGGGCAATGGGCACAAACTGGAGCACAGGAGGCTGAACCTGAATATGTGAAAATACTTATTTCCCGGGAGGGTGACAGAGCCCTGGGACAGGCTGGCCAGGGAGGGGCTGGAGTCTCCATCCCTGGAGACATTCCAAACCCACCTGGATGTGTTCCTGTGGCATCTGCTCTAGGGATCCTGCTCTGGCAGGGGAGTTGGAACAGATGATCTCCAGGGATCCCTTCTAACCCCCTCCCCTCTGTGACCCTGTGAAGCCCCACAGATCCATGGTGACCTCTCCCTCTCTCTCCTGCAGCCGCCAGTAACGGCTCGGCCATGGTGCGGGTGCTGAGCGTCAGCACGGCTGAGAGGACCCTGCTGAAGGGCTTCACAGGTGGGGTGGCTGACCTGGCCTTTGCCCACCTCAACTCCAACCAGCTGGCGTGCCTGGATGAGGCTGGCAACCTTTTTGTCTGGCGCCTGGCCATGGATAAAGAAAAAATCCAGTATCTTGTCAAAAATAGGCCTTGAGTCAGTCTTTGTGTCAGGATTTGGTGTGAGTGCAACCTCCAAACTGCAGCTTCCTTCCAGAACAGCAGCTTGCAGGGGGAAGGTTGATAGTTCTGCCCCTTCCAGAGCTTCTCATCAGTTACCCTGTGCCTGGATTCAACACAATCATCACTTGAAATCACAAGTAACCTGAAATCCTAGGAGGGACACCTCAGTGCTCCTGGTCCAGGCAGAAGCAGTCAGTGAGAAGTCCTGATCTGTACTGGCTGGCAAATGTCACCTTCACCAAGTGATAAAAAGGTTTTTACTGAAGTTTGTCTGGCTCAATCTCTTTTCCCTACTTACTTTTTTGGGTGTAATGCTTCCCTCCTGCTCACTGTCTTCCTTCCAAACCTGTCACTCCTTTTGCTGGGCCTGAAATTATTTTCAGCGTTTGATTTGTTGCTCGAGATTTTTTCCTTTTTAATTGCTGGGAGTGACATCTCAATGCCTTTGGGAAGCACGTGGGATATGTCTTGGTAGGTGGTGGCTCCTTCCTTTCAGCTGTATGTCATAATTTCAGAGGAGCCGGAGCAAAGATTGTTGAAGATCTGATTTGTAGGGGTGGAGCAGAGCGCTCAGCCTGGGGCAGCACGATGGCCTCTCTGGCTTTCCCTGCTAGTGTTGTTGCAGTGCTGGCTGAAATCATTTGATCTGGCTGAAATAATTTGATTTGGCTGAAATAATTTCATCTGTCCACCAGCAGCTGGATGGATTGCACATTCAGATGTGACTGTGTGCTCCTGTCTGCTGCCTGCAAGAGAAAATTAGGAGGCTTTTAACTTTTGTAAACTTAAGCTCTTCTGCCAGTGGAGAAACACTCACTTGTCACCTTTCTTAGCAGAATCCTTGTATCTGATTTCTTTTTTCATCTCAATGATCCAAAAACTTGAGGTTTGGTGGTGTTTACCAGAGGACTATGGCTGAGCAGGGAATTGCTGGGGGTCTGTAGCTGTGCCAGTGTTATCTTCCTTAACCGTGGTGATCAGAGAGGAGATCTTGGTTCACATCAAGCGACCTGACAACACCCCATTGAACACCTCTCGAAGAATCATCTGGTGCCCTTTCATCCCAGATGATAATGAGGAGAGTGGTGAAGAGGGAAGCCAGACGTTGGCCTTGCTGCATGAGGACAGGGTAAGGAGCCCCTGCTTTTGAAGCCTGGTCCCTTTTCACATTTAGAGGAAGAGAATCTAGTGAAGGGAGAGCCAATATGGTTAGAATTGTGGAAGCTCCTCTCTAGCCTGTGCTGGGGATCCTTCTGTAATTTGAGATGTGGGGATTCCTCTTGTCCAAGTAGAGGAGAAGATCTGATCTGTCTGGGCCTCAGGAGGGAGGGAGATGGTACCTTCTGCTCACCATCAAATCACAGAGCCACAAGAAACAGTGCAGAGGGCCAGGAGCATCACTCCTTGGCTCAGGCTGGGCCAGTTCCCAGGGAAGAGGGCTTGGTGAGCAGCCTCTGCACCTGCCAAGAGCAGATCCCCCTGTGGCTGGGCCAGGAGAGCATCTGTTGTCCAAATTGGGTGGAAGTGGGGAAGTTTATGTCCCAAATGTGTATATATAAGAATATGAGAAACTCTCCCCTGGCTCTGACCAGTAGTTGTAGAGATAAACCTGTGTGCCCACGTGTTTGTTTTCCAGGCAGAGGTGTGGGATTTGGACATTATCCGGACAAACAACAGCTCCTGGCCAGTGGAAGTGCCAAGCATCAAAGAAGGCTTCATTGTAGTGAAAGGCCACAGCACGGTATGAAGCTGCTCTGTGTTCCTGACTGCCATCTCAGAGGAGATCACTGCAGATCAGTTGGGTTCTCCTAAAGTCTCAGGAGTTGCAGTTCTTAGGATGTTTTCCTGTGAAAAAGGGTTTCTTTCCCATCCACAGCCTTCTGGTTGTATGCACGTGTTACTGGTGAAGAACCTTTCCTGAAAGAGCTGAGATGAATTTGTAGGAGTTTGCTTTGAAAACATCTCTTGAAGAAACTCGCCCATATTTTGGTGAAACTCTGGCCCAGGTTGCCCAGGGAAGCTGTGGCTGCCCCATCCCTGGCAGTGTTGAAGGGCAGGTTGGATGGGGCTTGGAGCAACCTGGGCTGGTGGGAGGTGTCCCTGCCCATGCAGGGGGTGGGACTGGGTGATCTCTGAGGTCCCTTCCCAACCATCCTATGATTCTGTGATTTTCAAGGGCCTGTTTGACAACCTGGGCTGCATTTTAGCTGTTTTATTCTGTCTCCTGGTCAATAGAACACTGACCACTGCAGTGGTTTGCAGCTGGATGGGAAGGGGAAAATGAAGCCAAATGCCTTCTTATTCTTCTCTGACTTCCCTAATGATGATAGTTACGTCTCTGAGCACAATGGATGGGGACTGCAGCTGAGTGTCCAATAGGTGGTATTTTGAATATAACAGAAGCAGCTGGAAAGAGTCTGATTTCACTTCTTGAACAGGATGATGACAAAGTGATTCTGTCACTTAGAAACAATTATCATAGAGAAAAGCCAGAATATCCCAGAACAGAATGAGCTCTGCTCATAGCATGAGTAGAAATGAGAAGAGTAGCAGCAACACAATACATTGTACCTGTTTGCTGTCTGGAAAAGGTTAATGATTTTCACCAAAAAAATATGTATTTTTATTTATTTTCTGAAGAGCTAAGCTGCCTGATGACATGGCTGTTGGAAATCGCCCTGAGTTTCTGTACGAGTTGCTCTTTCTCCCTCAAGAGCTGTAAAATGACTTCTTTCTGTCCTTTTTTCCCCCCTGTGTGTAGTGCCTGAGTGAGGGAGCACTTTCTCCAGATGGAACTGTGCTGGCCACAGCAAGCCATGATGGTTTCGTCAAATTCTGGCAGATCTACATTGAGGGGCAGGACGAGCCAAGGTGAGTGGAGAGTTAGAAAATGAAGGGTGTTGGAACAGAGAGCAGTGTTTCCTCTGGGAAAACTTCCTGGTTACAGGATCATCTGGTCATGCTGAGGACATTGTTAAGATAGAGGGTGAATGGTGGTAAAGTGATTTGTGGCTGGAGGGTTGTGTCACTGAATATGATCCAAGGGTTGGTGAACTTCTGGAAACAGCAGGAGTTCTGTGCTTTGGAGTCAAACTCTTACACGCTGTCAATGCAGGAGGCCTCTCTGAGCTGTACCTCTCAGTGTTGGCTTCTTTTATGTCTTGTGCCCTTGTTAAGACTCCAAACCACAGGGTAAAACATGATTAGTTCTTGTTTGGCTGCACAGGCTGTGATATCCTTATTTTTTACAAGTCTGTACACAGCTACAAGCTGCTAACACTTTTTGGCTGCTGACAAGGCTCTTTGGACAAGGGGTGGTGTGTTCATCACCCACCTTTGATCTTCCTCACTTACCACTCCCTGCACACTTGGATGTTTCCTCTGGTTCTTTCCTAGGTGTCTTCATGAGTGGAAGCCCCACGATGGCAGGCCTCTCTCCTGCCTGCTCTTCTGTGACAACCATAAAAAACAAGACCCAGAGTAAGTCCCCAGTCCCCTACTTAGATTATCAGTGTAATAACATCTTCTAACTCTGCCTCTGGAGGGTTACTTATAATTGCACCATACCTGTAAAAATTCAGATTTGTGGCAGGAGCAAGTCCTGTCCTCTTTGTAGTCAGTTTGTTAGTGATGGAGAAATAAGGCTCTGGAGCACAGCCTAAATTCTAGTGTCAGTTCCATGCAAACAGCAAAAATTGTAAATTGATGGGTCCTTTCAAGTCTGTGGTGTGGTCAGTTTGAACTGGCCTGTTGTCCTCCTGAGAGGAGGTTCTAGTGAGGTGGGTGTTGGCATCTTCTCCCAAGATAGGATGAAAGGAAATGGCCTCAAGTTGCCCAGGAAAGGCTGAGATTGGATTTGGGGAACAACTCCTTCCCCAAAGGGCTCAGGCTGCCCAGGGCAAGTGGTGTCCCCATCCCTGGGAGGGGTTTCCAAGCCCTGTAGATGCGGAGCTGAGGGACATGGGGCAGTGGTGGCCTTGGCACTGCTGGGTGAGCAGTTGGACTTGATGATCATAAGAGTATTTTCCAACCTCAGTGATTCTGTGATTCTATGAATTTTCTACTGCAGTTAATTAAAAAGTAGCTGATTATTTATTTTATATATATATATTATTATTATTTTTTTTATTTATTCTTTCTTCAGTCAGTTGTGGCCTTAAGGCTCTGGAGAGCTGTTAGAGCTCTGGGGGTTTCTAACCTGGCTCAGAAGCAGAGATTTTCTGGGAACTTTAAGACACAGTTGAGCAAAATCAGCCACGGGCAGCTTGTAAGGAACTCTGCTGTGAAACATCCTTCTGGGAAGGACCAGATCTTCTTTAAGAGAACTTAAATCTGTTGTGCCTGCAGGGTTCCCTTCTGGAGGTTTCTCATCACAGGAGCAGATCAGAATAGAGAGCTGAAGATGTGGTGCACGGTGTCTTGGACTTGTCTGCAAACTGTCCGGTAGGTGCTGATCTCCCAGCTCTCCTGGAGGGTTGGATTTGCTTTGAGAAGTGGCTCATGACAGAGCTCTCAGTTTCCAGGGGTTCTTACTTGGCAGAGGTGAGCCTTGATCTCCAACAGTCTGCCCTAGCCCCAGTGAGAGCCTGCCCCTTTCCCAGGCTGACAGCTGCTGGAAGCTTTCAGGGCTGTGACAGACTGTTGGGTCTGGCAAGGGCAGGAAGTTTGATCCTTTCATACAGTCTCCTTGGTGTTATCAAGACCTGTTGTCTTCACTTTGTAGAGCATAGACATACCCACAACATGAGGAGAGGCCCTCCAGGCTGCACACCTGGAGTGCCTCCTTGTGGAAAAGTACTAGATATTCAACAACCAATCCATGATCTTCTTTCATTACTGCTTTTTCTGATTGAAATCACGAGGAGCTGCTGTGTTGGCAGCTTAAGCAATCACACAGGTCCAGAAGTTCCAGTTCTGCTTTAACTCATCATCGCTTCACTCACTTTGTGTTCCCTGATTGCACCTTTCTGGGGGTGGGTCAGGGCCTCTGATCACACACACCTCTGAGGCCCCTTCTGAGCTGCCCTCTTGAAATGAGAAGAACGTGGCACACAGCTGAGTGCTGCTTTTGCCACCTTGTATTACAGAAGGTCCAAAAGCTACAGAAGGCTTGTTTTGTTGGGGTGGCTTTTTGGTTTTAAATCTGTAGCCTTGGCTCTTGACCTCCTATGAACGTGGAACATGTTGGGTCATGACAGACTATCATCTCCCATTTTAAATGCTCAGAATCCAGAACTAGATCCTGTTCTGGGATCTCCCTGCTTGTCCAACTGAAGTCAGCCCTGATTTCTGTAGTGATGTGTTTGTGGTTGCTCTGTAATCATGGCTGTAAAATCCTGAAGATGTTTACTTTATTTAAAATACTGCAGTTTACTGACAGTCACTCTGGTTCTAATCTGGTGCTCATCTACTTTGCTTTCTGCACCTTCCACCCCTGTCTGTGGATCCAGCTTTTCTCCTGACATCTTCAGCTCCATGAGTATTCTTCCCAGCCTGAAAGTCTGCCTGGACCTCTCTGCTGAGTATCTGATACTGAGCGACGTGCAGAGAAAAGTAGGTGGTTAATTTGGTTGCTGGTTGTAGTGGTGGTGGTGATAGGAGGAGAAGTGACCATTTGTGTGGCTGATTCTGCTGCCCAGCTCTAGGACTGGCTCCTTAATAGCTGAAAGTTCCCAGGTTGGCCTGAGTTGTTTCAGTGTAAGATGATAATGGTAATAGTTCAGCTGGTGAACCTTGGAGCCTTAAGGACAGGCTGGGAGAGTTGGGGTGTTGAGCCTGGAGAAGAGAAGGCTCCAGGGAGACCTTAGAGCACCTTCCAGTGCCTGAAGGGGCTCCAGGAAAGCTGGGGAGGGACTTGGGACAAGGGCAGGGAGGGAGAGGACAAGGGGGGATGGATTAAAATTGGAGGAGGGGAGATTTAGGTGAGACATGAGGAGGAAATTGTTTGGTGTGAGGGTGATGAGAGCCTGGCCCAGGTTGGGCAGGGAAGCTGTGGCTGCCCCATCCCTGGGGGTGTTGAAGGGCAGGTTGGATGGGGCTTGGAGCAACCTGGGCTGGTGGGAGGTGTCCCTGCCCATACAGGGGTTAGGGATAGATGATCTTTAAGGTCTCTTCCAAATCCCAAAGTCTGGGATTCTATTATTTCTCACCTTGAAGTGAATCTTTCATCTGGAGGAACCTGTGTCTGGCACAGCATGATTGAGTTCCTGACCAGCACTGACTCAGACAGGAGTCTGCTTATTGTGGTTCCTTTGGGGGTTCTGTTCCACATTTAAATGTCTTGGGCTTTATCCCTCACATCATTCCCATTGTTCCAAATCCAGTTCAGGTCCTAGGCTCTGTAGTCCACAGACACATTCACATGGTCTCCAAAAAGACTCACTGTATCTGATTCTTCCAGGTGTTATATGTGATGGAGCTGATGCAGAACCAGGAGGAGGGCAAAGCTTACTTCAGCTCCATCTCTGAGTTCCTCCTCACCCACCCTGTGCTCAGCTTTGGCATCCAGGCCGTGAGCCGCTGCCGGCTGCGCCACACCGAGGTGCTCCCTGCTGAGGAGGAGAGTGACAGCCTGGGTGTGGGTAAGTGATGGGGAGACTGGGGCTGCTGTGAGGTCAGGATTTCTTTCCTGAGTGGGTCTGGCTGGTTCTTCTCTTAGTCTGTGTGGAATACATCCTGTGCAGGGAGGGAAATGCAGGAGAGTTGGTTCTGAGGGACCTCTGGAGGTGTCTGGTCCGACCTCCTGCTTGAAGCAGGACTATGGCTGGTAGCAGAGCAGGTCACCTAGGGCTTCCTCTAGTTGCATGTTCAAGGCCCCCAGACTTGACACTTCTGTCTCTGCCCTGGTGCCTTGTCCCCAGGGCTGCGCTCCTGGAGGAAAATATTCCTGATGTTGAACCTGAACCTCCCAGCCCAGCCTGTAGCCATTGGCCCATAGCTCACCAAACCCCCCTGAGATTTTCCAGTTCCTAGAAACCCCCTCCAGGGCTGGGCAAGCTGCAGTGAGTGTGAGGGATGCTTTGGATAAGGTACAAATGAGCTGCTCAGTGTCAGCCATGGTGCTCTTCTCATGGCATAGTGCCACTGTCCCCAGCAGAAGGCAGGGGACAGTGTCCTGGCAGCGCGGGGCCAGGTCCCTCTCCAGCACAGTTTGCTGCAGGCTCACAGGAGCAGAAGCCTTCCCAGAAGAGCTGGCAGGATGTGTTTCTGTCCCTGCTTGTCTGAGTAAACTCTGAGTAGTCAAATGTGGAGGTGTCAGCATGTGATCTGAACTGTGCTGCCCGAGTGGTGACAGAGGAGAGGGCAGCACGTGGCCTGAGGTGAAGGAGAGGATGGGCTGCTTCTCCATCCTGTCTGGGGATCCCTTGCTGAGCTACAGGGCTTCTTGTGACAGAAATGAAGAAGTGGCTCTTTTTTTAGAGTAGCTCTTCATCTTTTGAGATGCATGAGGTGTCTTCTCTGGCTGTCACTACAGTGACTGTGATAACCCTGTGGAGAACTGGCCCGTGCAGACGTCCCTGGGTTGCTGCTTCACCTCAGCTCTGGCTGGATCCTCATCTCCTGCCTTTCTCTTACTAAAATTTGGCAAAATGCATTGAATTAATATTGTGTTTCCTGTTAGAAAGATCCCTGGACTGTCACTTTGGCTCTATGATGTGCTTCCCTGTGCCTGTTGTTGTACATAATAGTTAACTCATGTTGCTGTCAATATTTGTCCCACATTGCTCTGAAATGCAGAAGCAAAAATGACAGATACATGTGGCAGGTCAGGAGTAGAATAGGACTGAGACTTCATGTCCCTGATTGATACTCATATAATTAGGACAATTTGCATAGGAATACCTATCTTTTCTACTCAGCCTCTTTAGCTTTCTTAGCAGTGAGAAAGCTGAAGGTGTCAGTGTTGGCTGATGGGAGGTTATTGCAGAGCTTCTCATAACCAGTTGTTTACACCAAGGAGGGACAGTTGAGCCCTAGTTTGGATATCTGCACAGAATGGTTGAAGTTGGAAGGGATATTAAAGATCATCAACTCCCAACCCCCATGCTATGAGCAGGGACACTTCCCACCAGACCAGGCTGCACAAGCCTCATCCAACCTGGCCTTGAACACCTCCAGGGATGGGGCAGCCACAACCTCCCAGGGCAACCTGTTCCAGTGCCTTCCTACCTTCATGGTGAAGAATTTCTTCCTGATGTCCAACCTAAATCTCCCTCTCCCAGTTTTAATCCATGCTCCGTCTCCCTCCCTGCCCTTGTCCCAAGTCCCTCCCCAGCTTTCCTGGAGCCCCTTCAGGCACTGGAAGGTGCTCTAAGGTCTCCCTGGAGCTTTCTCTTCTCCAGGCTCAACACCCCAACTCTCCCAGCCTGGCTCCAGAGCAGAGCTGCTCCAGCCCTCCCATCATTTCCGTGGCCTTCTCTGGACCTTCTCCAACAGCTCCATGTCTTTACTATGCTGAGGGCTCCAGAGCTGGACACAGTGCTCCAAATATGAGGTGGCGTGTCTCTCCTAAATGTACCCAACCAGTCACTTCCTAAAATATATCCAACCAGTCACTTCCACAGCCAGAGCAAATTGTTGACAGTTCCAGAGCTCCTTTTCCTCCTCTTTATGTAGTGATGTATCTTGTTTTTCTCTTCCTTGAGGCTTACTTGGCTGGATTAGACCAAATCTGGGGGTTCTCCCCTTGGGAGATAAAGGGAAGGTAGCACATACTTTTCCTTACCAGGGTGAATCCACCTTTGGAGTGGAGAAGTGATGAAGCTGTATCATGCTGGTTCTCTGCTGCTGGTTTATGCTTTATCTGCTGTGACATTGTTTTGTTTGCAGTTTCCATCCAACTTCATGGTTTACTTTTGTCTCCCTTCCAGAAGGTGCTCAGGGAGCTGGGGCTGTTGAGTCAGCAGCAGGTGTGCTGATAAAGCTCTTCTGTGTGCACACCAAGTGAGTAAGTCTGGCAGCTCCCTGTGGCTGTCCCACTCCTGCCCTGACCCCCAGCAAGTTGATTTGCCATCCCTTTGTGCTCTTGGACCCATAGGAGCTTCAAGCTGGGGGGTGTTCAACATGGCCTCACCATGGAGTAGCCCTGCATGGTTTGGTGGCAAGGCATGAGCAGGCAGTGATTTAGGAGCTGTGCTGGTGTGTAAGTGCTGGGAAATGTCTCCCAAGTACCCTGGGTGACAGAGCTGGGTGACAGTGAGTAAGGACCAGCTTCTGCTGCTTCTGTCATGGGCAGAAAACAGCAACATGTATGCATAGAATCCCAGGCTGGTTTGAGTTGGAAGAGGTCTTGGAGATCATCTAGTTACAACCCCTGTATGGGCAGAGACACCTCCCACCAGCCCAGGTTGCTCCAAGCCCCATCCAACCTGCCCTTCAACACTGCCAGGGATGGGGCAGCCACAGCTTCCCTGGGCAATCTGGGCCAGGGTCTCACCACCCTCACACCAAACAATTTCCTCTTCATGTCTCACCTCAATCTCCCTCTTCCAGTTTTCATCCCTTCCCCCTTGTCCTCTCCCTCCCTGCCCTTGTCCCAAGTCCCTCCCCAGCTTTCCTGGAGCCCCTTCAGGCACTGGAAGCTGCTCTGAGGTCTCCCTGGAGCCTTCTCTTCTCCAGGCTGAACACCCCAACTCTCCCAGCCAGAGCAGAGCTGCTCCAGCCCTTGGATCATCTCCGTGGCCGCCTCTGGACTCTCTCCAACAGCCCCATGTCCATCTTATGTTGGGGACCCCAGAACTGACCCCAGCCCTGCTGGGGGGTCTGAGCAGAGCAGAGGGGACAATCCCCTCCCTGGCCCTGCTGCCGACACTGCTGGGGATGCAGCCCAGGACAGGATGGTTTCTGGGCTCCAGCACATGAAGCTGCTCATGTTGAGCTTCCCATCACCCAACACCCCCAAGTCCTTCTCCTCAGGGCTGTTTTCCATCTGTTCTCCACCCAGCCTGTATTGGTGCTTGGGATTGCTCTGACCCAGGCACAGAACCTTGTTGAACTTGATGAGGTTTACACCAGCCCAGCTCACTGATTCCAAGGCAGCAGTTCTGTGAAGAGGGATCTCCTAAGCATGAGGCTTCTCTTGGTGATTCATTAGCTAATCAGAGATGTATGGTTTTTTTCAGGGCCCTACAGGATGTGCAAATCAGATTCCAGCCTCTCCATAGCCCTGACACGAGTGCATCCATGCCTCCCCATGGCTCTCATGAAGAATTTGGTGAGCATTGGTGTTCAGTAGATCTTGAGTGTTGCTGAGGCTTTAAAGGGTGTTGGAGAAGGGGCAGCAGGAGGGCAGCTTGGGGTGCCTCTTTGTAACAGGGTAGTGCTCCTGCAGAAAGGGTTCTCAACATGGACTAGCTGTGAAGCTTGGAGAGAGCCCAGGGTGTGTGTGGACCATGGGGACATGGTGGGTGAGGAGCACTCATGCCTTGTGCACGCTGGAGTTCACCTTCCTTGGGAATTTGGTGCTTGTGCCAGAAACGTGGCATTTGTCTCTTGTCAGGTGGAAGAGCTGACAGTGACACGAGAGCTTTGGAGCAGAGGGGACAGGGTCTGTATGTAATGTGCTCTCTCAGGCCATGCACCTTTCTGGGATGTGGCTGTTCGGCTGCATTTAGGGAGAAGAGGAAGCTTGGATCCCTTATTATCAAAGCCTGACAGGATCCCCTGCTTAGCAAGGAGTGAGCAGGACCCAGGGCTGCCTGGCCCGTGGCTTTGAGGAGCTTGTGACAGGTCACAAGTCAGAGCCCGGGATGGGAGCAGCCTGAGCTCAGGTGTGGGAGAATTCAGGCTCTAGCTTTTGAGGGAAGAACTTGTCAATCAATTCCTCTTTCCCCCTTGGAAGCCTTTCCAGAGCACATGGCAGATCTGGGCCCGGAGGGGCTGGGCTCTGCCAAGGGCTCAGCGCACGGCTCGCAGCCCGACCTGCGCCGCATCGCCGACCTGCCCGTCCCCGCAGACTTCCTGGCCCTCTCCAACGATGCCAAACCCAAGCTGATGACTCCAGATGCATTCATGACGCCCAGTACATCTCTTCAACAGGTAACCAGAGGGCAGCACCTTTCGTGGGTGGGATAAGGGATGGGTTTGGATTTTGATCCTGGCGGATGTGGCGCCGGCGAGGCTGCACCTCGAGCGCTGGGGTCAGTTCTGGGCCCCTCGTGACAAGAAGGAGATGGAGTTGTTGGAGAGTGTCCAGAGAAGAGTGACCAAGCTGAGGAAGGGTCTAGAGAACAAGACCTAAGAGGAGAGGCTGAGGGAACTGGGGATGTGTAGTTTGGAGAAGAGAGGGCTGAGGGGAAACTTCATCGCTCTCTACAACTACCTGAAAGGAGGTTGTAGGGAGGAGGATGTTGGCCTCTTCTCCCAAAAGGATAATGACAGGGGCAGAGGAAATGGCCTGAAGCTGCACCAGGGGAGGTTTAGGCTGGATATTAGGAAGAAATTCTTTACTAAAAGTCAGGCCCTGGCACAGGCTGCCCAGGGAGGTTAGTGGAGTCACTATCCCTGGAGGCGTTTAAGAAACGTGTAGATGTGGCACTTCAGGCTGTGCTCTGGTGGGCATGGCCCCTCTGGACTCTCTCCAACAGCCCCATGTCCGTCTTATGTTGGGGACCCCAGAACTGACCCCAGCCCTGCTGGGGGGTCTGAGCAGAGCAGAGGGGACAATCCCCTCCCTGGCCCTGCTGCCGACACTGCTGGGGATGCAGCCCAGGACAGGATGGTTTCTGGGCTCCAGCACATGAAGCTGCTCATGTTGAGCTTCCCATCACCCAACACCCCCAAGTCCTTCTCCTCAGGGCTGTTTTCCATCTGTTCTCCACCCAGCCTGTATTGGTGCTTGGGATTGCTCTGACCCAGGCACAGAACCTTGTTGAACTTGATGAGGTTTACACCAGCCCAGCTCACTGATTCCAAGGCAGCAGTTCTGTGAAGAGGGATCTCCTAAGCATGAGGCTTCTCTTGGTGATTCATTAGCTAATCAGAGATGTATGGTTTTTTTCAGGGCCCTACAGGATGTGCAAATCAGATTCCAGCCTCTCCATAGCCCTGACACGAGTGCATCCATGCCTCCCCATGGCTCTCATGAAGAATTTGGTGAGCATTGGTGTTCAGTAGATCTTGAGTGTTGCTGAGGCTTTAAAGGGTGTTGGAGAAGGGGCAGCAGGAGGGCAGCTTGGGGTGCCTCTTTGTAACAGGGTAGTGCTCCTGCAGAAAGGGTTCTCAACATGGACTAGCTGTGAAGCTTGGAGAGAGCCCAGGGTGTGTGTGGACCATGGGGACATGGTGGGTGAGGAGCACTCATGCCTTGTGCACGCTGGAGTTCACCTTCCTTGGGAATTTGGTGCTTGTGCCAGAAACGTGGCATTTGTCTCTTGTCAGGTGGAAGAGCTGACAGTGACACGAGAGCTTTGGAGCAGAGGGGACAGGGTCTGTATGTAATGTGCTCTCTCAGGCCATGCACCTTTCTGGGATGTGGCTGTTCAGCTGCATTTAGGGAGAAGAGGAAGCTTGGATCCCTTATTATCAAAGCCTGACAGGATCCCCTGCTTAGCAAGGAGTGAGCAGGACCCAGGGCTGCCTGGCCCGTGGCTTTGAGGAGCTTGTGACAGGTCACAAGTCAGAGCCCGGGATGGGAGCAGCCTGAGCTCAGGTGTGGGAGAATTCAGGCTCTAGCTTTTGAGGGAAGAACTTGTCAATCAATTCCTCTTTCCCCCTTGGAAGCCTTTCCAGAGCACATGGCAGATCTGGGCCCGGAGGGGCTGGGCTCTGCCAAGGGCTCAGCGCACGGCTCGCAGCCCGACCTGCGCCGCATCGCCGACCTGCCCGTCCCCGCAGACTTCCTGGCCCTCTCCAACGATGCCAAACCCAAGCTGATGACTCCAGATGCATTCATGACGCCCAGTACATCTCTTCAACAGGTAACCAGAGGGCAGCACCTTTCGTGGGTGGGATAAGGGATGGGTTTGGATTTTGATCCTGGCGGATGTGGCGCCGGCGAGGCTGCACCTCGAGCGCTGGGGTCAGTTCTGGGCCCCTCGTGACAAGAAGGAGATGGAGTTGTTGGAGAGTGTCCAGAGAAGAGTGACCAAGCTGAGGAAGGGTCTAGAGAACAAGACCTAAGAGGAGAGGCTGAGGGAACTGGGGATGTGTAGTTTGGAGAAGAGAGGGCTGAGGGGAAACTTCATCGCTCTCTACAACTACCTGAAAGGAGGTTGTAGGGAGGAGGATGTTGGCCTCTTCTCCCAAAAGGATAATGACAGGGGCAGAGGAAATGGCCTGAAGCTGCACCAGGGGAGGTTTAGGCTGGATATTAGGAAGAAATTCTTTACTAAAAGTCAGGCCCTGGCACAGGCTGCCCAGGGAGGTTAGTGGAGTCACTATCCCTGGAGGCGTTTAAGAAACGTGTAGATGTGGCACTTCAGGCTGTGCTCTGGTGGGCATGGAGAGGTTTGCAGGGTAGTGTGGTGGTGTTGGTTTTGTGGAGTGTGTGGTGGTGGTTTTGTGGTTGTGATTTTCCCCTTTTTAAATTTTTTTTTTAAATTTCCTGGGTGGACAGTTGGACTTGGTGATCTTAGAGGTGTTTTCCAGCCATGACAATTCTGTGATACTTTTGGGAACTTTTTCTAGGCAGTAAGGACTCTGCTGGGTGATGCTCACTCAACACAGAGCACACAGGAAGCTCTCTGGGGGTAACCAAACCCAGTAAAGACATGTTGGCACCTCTAAAATGCTAAACTGGCCTAGGTTTGTGTAGTGAGTGCTGTGTTTGGTGCAGAACTGCTGGTGGGGCCATGCTGTGTAGGCATGGGGGGTTGCTGAAGAGCTGTGTCTGAGCTGGGAGACTGCTCTGACTGGGCTAGACCCCTTGTTTGGGGTGTGACATAGGTCTTAAGGGAAGAAAATATTCTACCTCTGCACATCCTGTCTGTTGGGATCCTGTGGGAGCACATCTCACATGATCACATAGGTAGGTGGTAGGTGGGACTGCAACATCTGCATAAGACAGGAGCTTGGTGGAGTTTTCCAGCACAGCAGGTCTTAACTGGTACAGAATCAAGAGCTCTGTGCTTGCCCCAAGGTTTTCACTGTCAGAAAGCATGTCATAGAGTGGTCAGGGTTGGAAGGGACCTCTGAAGATCATCTAGTCCAGCCCCCTGCCAGAGCAGGATTCCCTAGAACAGGTTCCACAGGAACATGTCCTTATGGGTTTGGCCCTGGGCAGCCTGTCCTGGGCCTCTGTTACTCTCACAGTCAAGAAGTTTTTCCTGATGTTTAGCTTGACCCTCCTGTGCTCCAGCCTGTGCCCATTGCCCCTTGTCCTGTCACTGGACACCCCTGAGCAGAGTCTGGCCCATCCTCCTGACACCCCCTGTAGATATTGACCAGCACTGATCAGATCCCCCCTCAGGCTCCTCCTCTCCAGCTGAACAGCCCCAGCTCTCTCAGCCTTTCCTCACAAGCATGTGAAGATTTCCTCAGGGTTTGGTGATCTGTGAGGAGCTGTAACCAAGCATTCATTCCTCAGAGGAGCTCTGATGGAGCAGTCAGAAGACACATGGTTCCTCTCAGTTCTCTGTTGGTGTGCCTGGCCAGCAGTGCTGCATCCTGCACCCTGGGGTCCTGCCACCCCTTCCCAGAGCCTGGCTGGCACTGGCTCTGTGCATCTGCCCAGCTGGCACAGGTTTGTGATGCCAACAAGCAGAACTGCAAGAATTTGCTGTTTCTTGGCCACTCTGCATCCAAACATCATGTTAGTTGGTCTCAAATCCATTCAGAGTTGCTTTATAATCTGCTCCTGAGGCTCTGCACAGCATTTGTGGCTGGAGTTTTCCCTGTGTGCTTGTAGATTGGAAGGAGACATGAATTTAAGTCTTTTTGAAAGGGCATCCTTTAAAAAAAGTGCCCTGCAGTATATTTACAAGGGGTGGGTTGCACTGATGAGAAGCTGTGGTGTTTTTCTCTGCCTTCCTGTGCAAAATGTGCAGTCAGGAATTTGCTGTGCTGCTGGGGTTCCTGCAGGGAGCTTGTGAGCAGCACTGGTCCCTCAGGCAGGGCTTCCCCTCCATGGAAGGAGCTAGTGGTGGTCACCACAGCTTGAACGTGCACTGGAGGGGCCTGGGTGAGGATGGGGAGCACATGGAGACGTGCAGAAATGGAGTCTGTGATGAGACAGAACCAGCCCAGTGACAACTTGGTGAGCAAAGAATTGACCTTCTCCTAAAGGCTTTGGTGTTGCCAGCCAAGTTGCTGAGAGCAGAAGTTAATGATGTGGCTGAGGGTGGGTGACCTTCCTAATGCAAAGGTATCCCAGGGGAGCAGAGAGAAGTCCTTGAAGGTGGCTGCAGATGGGGCTTGCAGCTCACTCTTGGGTTTAAACATGGAACTGTTCAGTTCCCACCTGGCTTTTCATTTCTGCCTGTTCCAGGCTTCTTCCTGCTGGCAGCAGCACCCAGGGCTGTAGGGTGGACGTGGCCCTGAGTTGCTGATGTTTTCTGGAGCTGGTTGTTGGTAGCCACCAGCAGCAGAGGGGGCCAGCACCCCCTGCTCTGCACTGCCAGCCAGCTGCTTAGATCAGCAGGACCTCTCCTTATGTGCTGAAGCATTCTGCTTCCATCTGTCAGGGCCTAAACCCTGCACAGCCTCTGGCCTCACTGGTGCCAGCAGACCCTGATGGGAGCAGTGTAGGTCGAGGAACAAACTGGGGCCCTGGTGCAGAGCCCTGCAGGGTGACCCTTTGGGAGAGCAGCAGCCTGATGAAAGCAGTTCCTGTGATGAGAGTGTTTTGGGGCTTTCCTCCAACCACCACCTGAGCACCCCAGCTGTGCAACTCGACCTGTTTTTACTTCTTTTTTTCTATTTCCTCTTTGCCAAAGACTCCTGAGGAGTTTTGGAGCCAGTGTTCTTGGGTCAAGCTCTGCTGTTGGACTCTGCTGTCACATCCTGACCACTCTGTTCTTTCCCAGGTGGCTGTGTCTCCAGGCAGCAGTGTCAGCTCCCTGACTGCAGTCACAGCCATGAGCAGCACTTCTGTCACAGATGCCTCTATGTCCAGGTAAATAACTCATGGATTAAATAACATATCTGCAGCTGAACTGTCCCTCAGGGTGTCTAGGAGCTGGAGAGTATCTTGTAGGAGAGGAGGTTGGAACCTGAGTTAGAAACTGGCCTGAGACCCAGCAGTCCTGTAGAGGCAACTGTTGGCACCTTGGGTGTAGCCTGGAGTGTGACTGTTGTCATCCAAGGGGCCAGCAGGGCTGTTCCATTTGTCTCTCAGGAGGATTCCCTTTCTGCTTCTCAGTTTGGTTCCTTTCCATGCTTCTCCCAAAGGGCTGTCCTTGTTTACAGGTAGGAGAGCACTGCAGCCACCAAGGGCAGGAGGGTAATTGGGACTGTTAGGAGACCCTTACTAATGTTGAGGTGGGTTGTGCTGCAGAACAGGGTGAGCTTCATTTCTGGGGGCTGGGAGAAGGACAGAGGGCTGTCTCATAGTCATCTGCTTCTCCCTAAACTCTGTACAGTGTGAACTGAAGGTAGAACAGATTCCTTCTCACCTCTTTTGTTTGTTTGTTGTTTCCACCTGGTATCTCCTTGGGTTGTGTGGGGACTAGGAGATGGGTTCATAGCATTGTTTTGGTTGGAAAAGACCTCCAAGATCATCAAGTCCAACCATTAACCATGAGATGCAGGTGCTAGTTGGCAAGGAATGGCTGGCCATGATGGAAAGAAGAAGGGCTTGAAGAACACCTGTGAGGTTTGGGTTGGGCTCCTCCATGAACCTGTGGATCCTGTCCCCTCACCTTGAGTGTTTGATGCAGATCTGTGTCATTAGGTTGTCCTGCTTGATTTGTCAGTGTCTCTGTTTCCTGCAGGCCATCAGAAGACTTGACTGTGAGCCCCAAGATGCAGCTGGACAGCAGCCTCACACTGAGCAGCAGCAGCAGCAGTCTCCAGACCAGTCCTAGAAGCCATTCAGTTCTCATCCCAGGCCTCCCTGACAAGCTAACACCAAAGGCACCTGTTCCAGTAAGGCTGCAAATGCTGCTCCCTTCCTTCCTTCTTGTGGGCCAAGGAACCTCAGCAGGTGTAGATGAGCTGTAATTAGTTATCTGGATGTTGACAGGGTCTGTGTCTGCCCTTTGGACAGCACAACCCTGCAGCTGGGTTAATGGAACTTGACCTTGTGTAGAACAGCAGGTCTCTGAGCACCAGAGGCAGCCCCAGCTTGTGCTGTCACTGTCACAGGGGGTGGAGCTGGGCAGCCTTTGAGTCAGGGGACAGTGCTGCCTGGGAAGGTTCCTTCCTCCCTGCTGGTCTCAAGCAATCATTTCCTATCCCTAAATCTTTCCAGGTGTGATGTAAAACAGAGTATGGCAAAGCTTGACATTCCTATCAGCTTTCAGTGCTGAAGAGGTTCAGTGTTAGAACTGACCTTGGCCCTCCAGGACAAGGGATCCTGGAGCAGAGCAGGGAGGTAGAACTGGTGTGACATTTTCTTTTGAAAGTGTGTTCAAACTAGCAGTGGTTTAATTGTGGTGTTGGCCCAGTGAGGGTTGGCTACAAGTCCTGGGGGCCTTCTCTGTCTGCTGGAAAGGCTCTTCCCAGGTGGCTGGTTGGTGTAAGGAACCAGGGGCTCTTGGGCTGTCTTTGCATTATGGGTTGACCTACTAGAAAGTGACTCCATGGAGAAGGACTTTGGAGTCTTGGTGAACAGTAAGTTATCCATGGGACAGCAATGTGCTCTTGTGGCCAAGAAGGCCAGTGGAATCCTGGGGTGCATTAAGCAGAGTGTGTCCAGCAGGTCAAGGCATTTTCTCCTCCCCCTCTACTCTGCCCTGGTAAGACCACGTCTGGAGTGTTGTGTCCCGATCTGGGCTCCCCAGATCTACTCCCCAGGGTTTTACTGGAGAGAGTCCAAGGGAGGCTACAAGGATGATAAAGGGACTGGAACACCTGCCTTAAGAGGACAGGCTGAGAGACCTGGGGCTCTTGAGTCTAGAGAGGAGAAGACTGAGAGGGGACCTGCTTAATGCTTACAAATGTCTGATGGGTGGGTGTCAAAAAGAGTGAGCCAGTCTCTGCTTGGTGGTGCCTGTGACAGGACAAGAGGTAACAAGGACCAGCTTGAGCATAGGAAGTTCCATCTAAACATGAGGAGGAACTTCTTTGCTGTGAGGGTGACAGAGCCCTGGGACAGGCTGCCCAGAGAGGTGGGGGGAGTCTCCTTCTCTGGAGCCTTTCCAGCCCTGTCTGGATGCCTTTCTGAGTGACCTGCCCCAGGTGTTCCTGCTCCAGCAGGGGGATGGACTTGGTGACCTCCGGAGGTCCCTTCCAACCCCCACCATTCTGAGACTCCGTGATGACCCTCAAGGCTCATTTCTGATTGTTCTGAACTCAGGTGACACCAGGAAACCCCTCTCTGGCCCTGGAGCTGCAGGAGGTGGAGCCCTTGGTGGTGCCCCAGGCTTCTCCCACCCGCGAGCGCTCTCCAGATGTCATCTCCTCAGCCTCCACTGCCATGTCCCAGGACATCCCAGAGATCGCCTCCGAGACCCTCCAGCGCAGCTTCGCGGCGCCTCCGGCCGGGCTCCCCGGGGAGGGGCTGGAGCCCCCTCACCACGCAGACAGCATGGCCTCTGCTGCCTCAGCCCTGCACCTGCTGTCCCCCAGGAACAGGCACAGCTCCGAGCACAGCCACCACTCTTTGGACATGCCTCCAGTGGAGGTGGACAGACTGAACGCTCCGTCCCTGCTGGAGGCTGCTCTAACTCAGGAAAGCGCAGCTGCTGACAATGTGGTGGGTCAGCCCTGGCCAGCAGCTCCTGACATAACCAGGGAAACCAGGAACAGCATGGCAGACAGGTAACCACTGGGCTTTCTCCTGCTTAGGGCATTTTCTTTGCACTTGCCAGTTCCCAGCTGGGTGAAAAGCCCTTCTGTTGGGATGCAACTGGAACAGTTCTCCATCACTCCCTTTCCTGAAAGGATCTAGTGATCCAGCCTCTGTGCTGTGTCCTGAACTTCCTCAGCCAGCTCTAACAACATCATGTGCACCTGCTTCCCAGGAGCAAACTGTTCTGCTGGAGCACTGCTTGGATTCAGCACAGAATCCCTGTCCCTGCCTTGTGGTTGGGTGGGAACAAAGAGATGAATCTGGCACCTCCAGAGTCTGCCCAGGCTAGGACTGCAGGCAGCAGGACAGCCTGCAAACACCTGCCTTTGCAACAGGACTCACAGGATGAAGGGGTCAGTGTTGTCCCTCAGACTGTCCAGGGGTGTTTCCTCCCACCAGAATTCCAAGAGAAAAGCTTTCACCTGATGCCTTCCTACCTGAGGAGGCTGCTTCAGGCAACAGTCTCAATTCTGCTGGCTCTGGGGAGGGTGCTGAGCCTGTGTTTCTATGCAGGGCTTTTGCCTTTGCTCATATTTTGAATTGGAGAAAACACTTCCCCAGGAGTTGGTGATTTCCCTTAATCCCACTCAGTCTTCAGGGCTTCCCATATCCGAGTAGCAGAGCAGATCTGGCTGGCTCAGAGGTATTTTGCTTCTGCAGCAATAGAATTGTTTGGCATTCCAGCTCAGCCATCAGGCTGCATGGGAGTAACAAGTGCTCAGTTGTGGTTCAAGATCCTCCTGCACATGGAGTTCAGAGACCTGGTTGATGCCTTGCCAGGGGAGGGGGGTGTGTAATTTGCTTTCAAACCCTTTATGAAGTTCAGGCTGGATTTGCTGTAGCAATTCTGTTCTGTCTGGTAGAGCTAACCCATCAAATTGATGCACTTCTCTCTGTGAGCTCCTCAGCCACTTGGAAGATCTGAGGAACAGTGACTTGTGCCCCAGTGCTGAGTAGCACCTGAGGAAGAGCAGCCACAGATGGTGCTGTTCACTGAACTCGCTGTGCTGCCCCTTTTGAGCAGAGTCTCACCTGCCTTGGGTGGGTGTCTCTTGGGATATGGTGCTTGGGCAGAGCCTGACACATAGCTGAGCTGCTTCCACCAAGATGATCAGAGGCCTGGAGCAGCTCTGCTCTGAATTGGGGCTGTTCAGCCTAGAGAAGAGAAGGCTCCAGGGAGACCTTAGAGCACCTTCCAGTACTTGAAAGGGGCTCCAGGAAAGCTGGGGAGGGGCTTTTCATCAGAGAAGATGGTGATAGGACAAGGGGTGATGGTTTTAAACTGAGAGAGGGGAGATTTTGGTGACATATTAGGAAGAAATTCTTCACTCTCAGGGTGGTGAGGAACTGGAATGGGTTGCCCAGGGAGGTTGTTGATGCCCCATCCCTGGAGGTTTTTAAGGCCAAGTTGGAGGGGGTTTTGTGCAACCTGGTCTAGTGGGTTCCCTGCTCATGGCAGGGGGGTTGGAGCTTGATGATCTTTAGTGTCCTTTCCAACCTTAATGATTCTATGACTCTTAAGCCCCCCAGAAAAATGCATGGAGAAGTTTTTTAGCACCTCTCAACAACCCTTCACTTCTCTCTGGATCTTTGCATGTAGGGGTGGGGTTTTTTTTGTTGTCGTTTTAGACAGAATCTGCTATGGGAGGTGGAACGAGCGGATGCCCAAGCTGAAAGAGACTTTGATGACATCTTCTTTTTGTCCCCCCTCTAGCCCAAGGGATGAGGTTGAAGAAAAGCACAAGAGCTCTTCCTACCACCGACACAGCTACCACCTGCTGCAGCACGACAGCCAGGATGCCAGTGCAGAGCAAAGGTACCCAGTGCTCACTCCACGTGGCCTCAGCTCTGTCCCCAGCAAGTCTTCACGTGGGGGCTGAATCTCTGTGCTTTGGCTCCTGACCTCACGTGTGTGTGCAGCTTCTGCAGTGCTCTGGTGACTTTAGGTGGTCACAAGATTGGCCCAATTTACTCTCTGTAGGGAAGGGTTTGTGCTGCTCCTAATAGCGCTGACCAGGCTTGGTTTAATTCCCAGTTACAACCTGCTGGAGGAGCAGTTCCCAAATACTGTGCCTTGGATGAGGTGGTGAGAGGACCTCTGGAGTTAGTTCCTTGCTTTTGAGACGCTTCAGGAGGCCACCCTGCAGCTCTGTGGGCACATTCTGTGTGCCTGGTCAGCTCAGCTCAGCCCAGTTTGACAGCTGAAGGTTCATTCCTAATCCATGTTTCGATTCCGACCGAAGCACGTGGCCTGTGTTGGTCAGCAGCTGGAAGACTCTGAGTTTCCCAGGATCTTCTAGGCTCAACCCAGTTCTCTGTTCCCACAGTACCTGCTGAATGTCTTTCTGTCTGTCAGGCTGTAAGGATGTCCTGTTCTTGGGCTCCCTACTGGGTCAGCTCCACACCCTCCTGCTTCTGTGCTGGTGTGTGTGCAGCAGGTGCAGGCACCACAGTTGTCCCCAGCACAGAGACCTTGCAGGTCTTGTTGTGCAGCCCTCAAGCTGGCCATGAGCAAGCTGGCTCAGAACAGAGCAGCAGGTGCTGAGCTCCCCAGAAGTCTCTGTGGTGGAGGTGGTGGGTGTCCTCTGCTGCCTGGCTATGGCCATGGCTGGATGAAGAGCAGAGTGTGACCCTGGTCTGCAGGGCGGTTGGGCTGGATGGTCTCCAGAGGTCCCTTCCAACCCTCACCATTCAAAACACAAAAAAAGAAACCCCTCCCCTTAGTGAAGGCTGGTGCTGTCTGGTACTGCAAGTGATGTCCTCTCCCCTGCTGTTCCCTCACAGTGACCATGATGATGAAGTTGCAAGTTTGGCTTCCACATCAGGTGGATTTGGTGCCAAAGCGTCTACGCAGAGGCTGCCGGTGAAGGACTGGAAAGCCAAGGCATCCCCTCGGGCTTCCCCAAAGCTCAAGAGGAAGGGCAAGAAAGATGATGGGTATGTTGGGTTTGCCAGGACACTGGTGGTCATGGGACCAGCTGTGCAGGGCCACAGCCTGGAGGAGCTGTTAAATGAGGGGCTGAGGCTGGGCCAAGTGTCCCACCCCTCACCTCGCTTGGCAAATGGTGGGAACCCCACAGAAGGTGTTGCTGGTTCCTCAGTCACCCACTGCCACTTGGGGTGTGTGGGAGGAAGTGCTGTACTACCTGTCCAGCTGGGAATCAAACCCCAAAGTACAGCCTGGGCTTCAGAAGAGGTGGGGGAGGTAAATCACATGTTGTGGTGGGGACATTGGATCCATTGGCTGGTTTCAGTGAAAGCTTCATTGGGACTGTGAGGCTGGGAGTGGAGCTTCACATGGCCTCCAGTTTTAATTGGCTTCTGAACGCTGGCACAGTGCCACAACATCTGTCCTTTGTCACCTGCCTTGCTGCTTCTGTGTGTTTCTAAATGTGCCCCTCTGAATGTCTTGAGTGAAAACTGGTGAGTGGAAAGGTCTGCCCAGGGCAAAGGAGACCAAGCTGTCTGCATTAGGGTGAGGGGAGCAGCACAGCTCCTGCATGGGGCTCTCTCCTCTTCTTGCTTCTCCTAGCTCCATGGTTGGGATCTCCAGATGTGCAGATCACAACCTGGATGGGCTGTGGCATGACATTTCTGGCTGTCATCCTGTACTGTGGCACCCAGAAGCTCCAAAATTACTTTCCTTTTTCCTGCCTCAGCCTTTTGGAAGTTGCTGCTTGGGTGCTGGGTGTTGGCTTTCCTTCTGGAGAGTTGGAATAGTCATATTTGTGACTTGGATAAAGACAGACAACATCAGTGGGTCAGTTCAGGGTTTTTCCCAGTTCTGCTGGTGTGCATCACCAGGTTCTTGAGAGCTGGAGTGGTACTAGATGATTTGAAAGCTTATTCATTCTATATTTAACAAATGGGTACTTGGTTTTCCTTTGTAAAGAAGAAGGAGACCTTCCCAAGCTGTTTGGCAAAGCCTCCCCTGGCTCTGAATTTGGACAAAACTGAAGAATCAGTGTGTTGGTCTTTGTAACAGTCCTCACTGAGACCTGGTTCAGGTTTCCTCACTGAGACCTGGTTCAGATCTCCTCCCTGCAAAGGAACCAGCCTGTAAGGAATGGAATAGTGCAAAGGATGGAAGGATTTTATCACCTCTTCAGGGGATGCTGGGCAAAACAGGAGTGTGAGCTGAAGAGCAGAACCTAAAGCAACCATAAAATGTGTGACCTGGTCTGGCAGAAGACTTGGAGATTGGATTACTAGTTTTCTTCTTTTTTTCCAGGGATGTGAACCAGTCACCAAGATCATCCAACAACCAGGTGAGTCAGAGCTGCTCTGCAGTCTGTCCCAGGAGCATCCTGCTCCAGCTCTACCAACTGTCTCACCTGAGATGAAGTTTATCCCAGTTCCTTGAAACTGGGCTAGGCCTGAGCAGGCTGGGGTGGGACTGGCCTTGGCCTTGCTCTGCTCTGACTGGAGCTGCCCAGAGCTGCCCAGCCTGATGGCTTCCTTCACCTTTGCCTGGTGATGTCCATTCTGGTGTTCTCACAAGCCCTGTGTCACCTGAGGCTCTTCCACCCATTTCCTCTTCCCTGCTGAGGTGACTCAGGCAGCAGGAAAAGCTCATCTCTAAATTGGGAAGATAAGGCTTCCATGGATGGGCCAGTCAGTAGATAAGGAGTTGGCTGCTGATTCCAGACAAAGAGTTGTGGTCAAAGGCTTGATGTCCAAGTGGAGAACAAGTGGTGAGTGGGGTGACAAGTGGTGTTCCTCAAGGAGGCAACAACCTTTCTATAAGGGCCAGTAGCAATAGGGCAAGGGAGAATGGTTTTAAGTTGAAAAAGGGGAGATTTACACTAGAAATGAGGAGGAAATTGTTCCCGAAGAGGGTGGTGAGAGCCTGGCCCAGGTTGCCCAGGGAAGCTGTGGCTGCCCCATCCCTGGCAGTGTTGAAGGGCAGGTTGGATGGGGCTTGGAGCAACCTGGGCTGGTGGGAGGTGTCCCTGCCCATGCAGGGGTGGGTCTGGATGATCTTGAAGGTCCCTCCCAACCCAAACCATCCTGGGATTCTATGATTTTTTTAATGTTCAGAGGCCTAAACACCCTCAGTGCTAAAAGTGGCCAACAGTGAGTAGGATCTTGTTTCTTCAGTTTCCTTTTAGATGACAGAGTTTTGGAGAGAGTCTTGAATCTGAACAGTTGAGGATATTCTAAGCAACCACTTACAAACTCCAAGTGGGAACTTCATGTACCTTTATCAGTTCATTTCTTGGGACAGAAGCCTTAGAAATAAACATTTCTGTTTTGTGTGTCATGCTTCAGTCTAAGGCACAAGGCTTGACTTGATCACCCAGCAGAAAGCCTGACTGACCCCTGATCCTGTCAGAAATGAAGGTTTGTCCTCTCCACACCCAGGTGACCCCCGAGTTCCAGGATGAGCTGATGTGCATCTTGAGGAGCCAACAGCGGGAGCTCTCGGAGCTGCGGCAGAACCAGATGGAGCTGCTGCAGAGACTGACAGATCACCTGGATGCCATTCAGAGCTCCCTCATGGGCCATGTGGAGAGGGTGATTGACTCCCAGCAGGAGCAGGAACGTATCCTTGTTGACAAATATTGTGTGGGAGTCAGGGAGTGGAAGGCTGTGGGGCAGACTGGAGACAGGAGGAAAGTGAAGGAAGTTCAAGGATCTCGGTAGCAAGGTTGCCTGGCTGCAGGGCAGCTAGTCCAGTTCCTCTTGATTCCCCAGCAAGAGAATAGAGAAAAACTGAGACTTCTCTGTGCCACTAAATCTTCTAATTGCTCATTAAGACCATGAATGATGCAATGCTGGAGCAGACTATTAGGTGGAGTTCACCTGATACTCTGTCAGGCAGTGGCCGGTTGCACAGGAGTGGTGCTGGGATGATCCTTCCCTTCCTTCCCTCCTCAAGGCAAGTCACTGTTTGCACCAGAAGTAGCATCAGGCTGCCAGTCTCCATAGCTGAAGGTAGAACTCTCCTGTCTGTACCCATAGACACATCTGATGGTCTGCAGGTCCCTTCTCCGTGGTCTGAAAAGTACTTTCTTTTGGTGTTTTCAAACCTGACATCCAGTTATTTTCACTCACCTGATACTCTGTCAGGCAGTGGCTGGTTGCACAGGAGTGGTGCTGGGATGATCCTTTCCTTCCCTTCCTTCCCTCCTCAAGGCAAGTCACTGTTTGCACCAGAAGTAGCATCAGGCTGCCAGTCTCCATAGCTGAAGGTAGAACTCTCCTGTCTGTACCCATAGACACATCTGATGGTCTGCAGGTCCCTTCTCCGTGGTCTGAAAAGTACTTTCTTTTGGTGTTTTCAAACCTGACATCCAGTTATTTTCACTGGCAGCAGCCAGTTCCTGTGCATCTTTTGCTGCCCTGGAGTTGGTCTCTTTCCCCCCACTGAGCAGCTCCAGCCTGTCTTAAATCACCCTTAGCTTAACATGTCACCACCTAACTTAACATGGTCCTTCTTTGGCAAGGGGTTGGACTCAATGATCTCCAGAGATCCCTTCCAACTGCTGACATTCTGTGATCCTGTAATTAGTTCTGTTTTCTCTATTGATGAGTCTTTCACTTTCCTTTCTGACCACCAGGCTGATATTTTCATGGATAATTCAGAGAGCTTTCTACTGACCTTGGGAATCTGGAGCTGCATTGGAATATTGGAATTATTTTTCCGTGCACAACTTCATACCTGCTCTGGGTTTTGTCAGCAGTTGGATTGTCTTTTCACTGCTTGTTTTGGGTTTCTCTTTGAAGATGCCACAGTGTTTTTGTGGGGGCTCCTTGGTTGCTTCATGAGGTGTGATGAGCCTGGGTTTGCTCCCCTGCTCTGTGTCACTGAAGTCCCCCACCTCCATCCTGTAGGAACATTTTTACTGGTTTGGTTTTTCTGGATATTGGGCTTCTTAGTTTCTCCAGCAGGTTTGGCTGGGTTGGGGTTAACTTTCATCCTAGCAGCTCCTGTGGTGGGAAGTTCTGGATTTGTGACCAAAACAGCCTTGATAATACCCTGATGTTGTTGCTAAACCCTGTCAAGGCCTTCTCCATTTCTCACCCTGCCCCACCAGTGAGCAGGCTGGGGTGGGCAAGGAGCAGGGAGGGGGCAGGGCTGGGCCAGCTGACCCCAGCTGTGTCCTGCATGGCATGACAGGCTGCTCAGCAGCAGAAGCTGGGGGAAAGGGGGAGGAAAAGGGGGGGAAACTGGGAGTGATAGGGTTTGTGTTCCCCTCTTGCTGTTGGGTGGGATGAGCCTGGTGTTGCTGGGGGTGGCCACCCAGCTGCAGGACTGAGTTCATTCCTCATTTTGCTTCTCCCTCACGTGCAGCTTTTGCTTTCCCTCTTAAACTGCCTTCACCTCAAGCTTTCTCACTTTCCCCCTTCCTGTCCCCTCCCTGTCCTGCAGGGGAGGGAGCAAACTGACCTGCCCAGAGGGGCATCCAACTTAACCCACAGCAGGCAGGGAGCTCTGCTGCCCAGCTTCTTCTGGCTGTTTGACTTTTCCACCACACCTTCCAGAGCTCTTCTCAACTTGACCATTTGTTGAAGAGCAGCCTGTTGTTTACAGGAACCCCTCAGCCATGACAGGTGGACCTCTCTTTTCACCCACGTTGCAAACTTGCTCTCACTGAGCTTCTGGAGGTGATGTGAGTGTCCATCTTCATGGACAGAAGTGTTGAAGGTAGAGGAGAAAGCTGTGGTTGGTGCTCCTTGACGTGCTGTCCCTAGAGAGGAGGCTGGACCGCGCGCTGACGGAGGGGCAGCAGCGCAACGGGCAGCTCCAGGAGCACCTCTCCCAGCAGCTCTCCCAGGCCCTCTCTGCTGCTGTGTGTACCCGTCTGGAGAGGACCATCCGTGAGGAGATGAAGAAGACTGTGCCCCAGTGTGAGTTGCTGCTTCTGAAGGGAGGTCTTTGCATTTAGCCCCTCAGGGACCGGGCGTGTGCTGTGTCAAAGTGCTGGCTCTGCCTGAGGCAGGAGTTGGGTTGCATGAAGAGCAGTCATTGCTCTTCACTCTGTTGTGGGTCTTGCTACAATCTGAGAGAGGAGATGTGGTTTGGAAGGAGTGAGAAGCTCCCAAAGAGCCTGGTCTGACCTTCCATTGTAATCCAGAAAGCTTCTGGAGTCTGTTCTGTGGAGGGAGGCAAAAGAAACTAATGAGTTTGGAAATGCTGAGCAAACTTAAACCTGTGTTTGCCCTTCTTTGAAGCACTGGCATCATCCATGTGAGGAAATGTTCAAGGAAGTGCTGGTGGGAAAGCCTTCTGCAGCCATCAGTGTCCACCATTCTGCTTGAAGCAGGGCTGCCCACTATTCTAGATCAGGTCAGCTCTGACTTTGTCAAGTCTTGAAAACCCTCAAGGCTGGAGGTTCCACAGCCTCCCTGGTGCCTTCCAGAGCTTTACCACTTCCCTGGCAAGAAGTTCCTCCTAATGTCCAACCTTAGCTTCCCAAGCCAGACTTTGTGACCATTGCCCCTCACTGTGTCATAGCCAAGAAGAGTTTGACTCTGTTTTCTCTGTTGGGTTTTGAAGTGTGACTCTAGACTTTGCCATGTTGTGCCCAGGCATTTCCAAGAGCATGGACCCTGTTGCTGGCCAGCTGAGCAACACAATTGCTGCCAAGCTCACTGCTGTGGAGGGGACACTGAAAGAGAGTATCACCAAGCTAGTGAAGTCAAAGGTAAGGACCAGCAGGCTGCAGCTTTTCCCACGTAGCAAGTCCTCATACCTCTTGCCCTCACCTATGTCTCCAGGTAAGGTCAGTTTAGCTGCCATGGTCAAAGCTCTTTGCTGGTCTCATCAGGAGAGCGAGCTCGTTGTGTCCTCACCTGCTTGGCTTCCTGAGAAACCAAGAATCCTTTCTTCCATTTACCCAACCTCATGAAGTTCAACAAGGCCAGGAGCAAGGTTCAGTGCCTAGGTTGGGGCAATCCCCAGCACCAGTACAGGCTGGGTGCAGAATAGATGGAGAACAGCCCTGAGGAGAAGGACTTGGGGGTGTTGGGTGATGGGAAGCTCAACATGAGCAGCTTCATGTGCTGGAGCCCAGAAACCAACTGTCCTGGACTGTCAACAGCAGAGTGACCAGCAGGGCCAGGGAGGGGATTGTCCCCTCTGCTCTGGTGAGACCCCATGCAGGGCTGGGGCCAGTTCTGGAGCCCCCAACACTAGAAGGACACGGAGCTGTCGGAGAGAGTCCAGAGGAGGCATCTTTGGGCTGGAGCAGCTCTGTTCTGGAGCCAGGCTGGTAGAGTTGAGGTGTTCAGCCTGGAGAAGAGAAGGCTCCAGGGAGACCTTTAGAGCACCTTCCAGGGCCTGAAGGGGCTCCAGGAAAGCTGGGGAGGGACTTGGGACAAGGGCAGGGAGGGAGAGGACAAGGGGGAAGGGATTAAAACTGGAAGAGGGAGATTGAGGTGAGACATGAGGAGGAAATTGTTTGGTGTGAGGGTGGTGAGAGCCTGGCCCAGGTTGCCCAGGGAAGCTGTGGCTGCCCCATCCCTGGCAGTGTTGAAGGGCAGGTTGGATGGGGCTTGGAGCAACCTGGGCTGGTGGGAGGTGTCCCTGCCCATGCAGGGGGTTGGAACTAGGTGATCTTTAAGTCCCTTCCAACCCAAACCAGCCTGTAATTTCATGATGTTCTCTTAGAGGGGGGGATTCTCACTACAGCAGTGGTTTTAGGACCATCTCAGTTAGCAAAGTGATCAAAGTTTGGCTCTTGTCTCTGCCTTTCCACTGCTTTCAGGGTGCAGAAGCATTCCATGTCTTAGCAGGGAATGGTGGCTTGTGGGAGGAAAGCAGGGAAGGAAAGAGGAGCCACAGCTGCCTGTGCCACCTCCCCTCGCTCTGCAGCGAGACCTTCTGGGGCAGGTGCTGTGGTCATAGTGGAGAGAGCTGAGGAGAAACAGGCTTCTGGCTCTGGGCTGGGTGGGTTGCAGGGACCATCACACCTCCATCCTGGAGCAGGCTGCTGGCCATCTTCTGAGATCTCTTCTGTGTCCCCCTGCAGAACCTGACGGACACCGTGGTGAGGGCGACGGCTGATACCCTGCAGGGCCCCATCCAGGCTGCCTACAGGGAGGCCTTCCAGACTGTGGTGTTGCCAGCCTTTGAGAAGAGCTGCCAGTCCATGTTCCAGCAGATCAATGACACCTTCAAGCAGGGCACACAGGAATGTGAGTGGCTTCTCTGGGTTTACTCTGTGCAGCACATGTGCCTTAGTGTTGGACAAGTTGGCCTCAATGACTTTGTCTTTTGGAGTCTCACTGGTAACTGTCAAACCTCTTTGCCCATCCCCATGGGCCAAAGACCTGCTCCATTTCACATGTGGAGAACAGAAGCTGAAGGGAGGAGGGATTTGTGGGTGGTGCTGTAGGAACAGTCACCTCTGGTCTCTGTAGCCCATGTGGTGAAACACTTGGCCTCATTCCCTGAGTCTGTGATTTCATCTCTTGAGTAGTAAAGCCCAGCTGTAGGATCCCACCATCCTGACCCCAGGAAGTTGATGGTTGGAGGAGGTAGCAGCTAGGTCCTCACCTCAGAGGGGCAAAGGATTGGGGAATGTTTAGAGAAGGGCGCGGGGATCATGGAATCCCAGAGCAGTTTGGGTTGGAAGGGACGTTAAAGACCATCCAGTCCCAACCCCCTGCATGGGCAGGAACACCTCCCACCAGCCCAGGTTGCTCCAAGCCCCATCCAACCTGCCCTTCAACACTGCCAGGGATGGGGCAGCCACAGCTTCCCTGGGCAACCTGGGCCAGGCTCTCACCACCCTCACACCAAACAATTTCCTCCTCATGTCCAACCTAACTCTCCCTCCTCCAGTTTTAATCCCTTCCCCCTTGTCCTCTCCCTGCCTGCCCTTGTCCCAAGTCCCAGCTGGATGGGGCTTGGAGCAGCCTGGTCTAGTGGGCAGTGTCCCTGCCCTTGCATGGGGTTGGATCTAGATGATCTTTGAGGTCCTTTCCAACCCAAGCCCCGTTCTGTGACTCTCTGAGGAGGCTGGAAAGGTTCTAGATCAGGGCAGCCCAAAAGCAGACTCATGACTTGTCCCCTCTCCTGCTCTCCCACTGCCTCAGTAATCAGTTCTGCTGGAGAACCTGGCATCTAGATTTCTGCCCTAATGGTCTCCATGGGTTCTGATGGCACGACCATCTCCCTCTCTGCTTGTTGCAGATATCCAGCAGCTGGAGATTCACTTGAAGAACAAGAAGGTGCGAGAGCAGGAGGCCCGGGACCCGCGCTCCGCCAGCTCCTCCTCACCTTCCAGAGCAGCACGGAGCAGCTGGCGTCCTCTGTGGCAGCCAGTGTCCATGCTGAGGTGCAGCACCAGCTCCACATCATCGTGAGCAAGTAAGTTGGCAGCTGGGCATGTGGGAAGAGAAGTGGGGGAGGTGTTTGTACGTGGGTAACAAAATTCTCTCCCTGGTTAGCTGTGGAATGAAGCCGTTGGCCACCGCAGGGCTGCTTGTTGATGTGCAGCATCAAAGCACGTGGGCTGGTGGAACTGGTGCCCTGTGGAGCACAGAGTGGAGGCCATGGAAGGTTTCTACCAAGCAGCTGTATCACTGCTGCATGTGTGAGCTTGAAGCCTGCTTTTTGGTGTCCTCTGTGCACGTTGGAGGACAGGAGGACTTGGGCAGCCTGAAGGCACTCAACTCTGACCACCCTTCCTGTTCTGAAATGTCCTCCTGGTGTTCTGAGGGCTTTTATGTCTGTGGCCTCAGGCTTACCAGCAGTTTCTGCAGGCTCCTCTGTCCTCCCAGCTGCTCTGCTGGTGTTTGGCCATCCTGTTTTCTGGACTGACCCCAGTGGTGCCTTCAACACGTTCATGCCATGAAGCTGGTGGCAAGTAGCTGGGCATGGCTGGTGGCCACCTGCAGGCCAGAATGGTCCTATGTTAAACCACAGGAACGTGTGGCAGAGGGGACTGGGGTTTCCGTGCAGCTCCCACTTGCCAGGAAGGCTGAGGGCTGGTCCCATGGCTCCCAGGAAGGTCCTGCTGAGGCACAGCAGGTTCACTGCTTTGTGCCCTGTGTGAGAGGGGAGCAACCAGCCCCGGGGGAGGCAGGGAGGGTGTGACAACAGCAAAGCCCCTGCTGGGAACTGGTCTGGTGTGGAGAAGCCTCATGCTGGGTGGCAGTGAGGTCTCATTCTGAAGGTGTCATGTGCGGGCTGGGACACTGTGTCTGCTCTGATGGGGAAGCTGGGCCCTCTGGGGAGGAGCCCAGAGCTCAGGAGCCTTGTTTGTGAGCCAGAGACATTAAAGATTTAAAACACTCTGTAAAGAGAGGCTTGGTTCCCTGAAACACCACTTTCCCACACAGAATCCCAGCATCTCCCACATCCCTTGGCCACAGCTGCCTTGCCAGCACCTTCCCTTTGGGAACCACCTGCCAGAGACCGCAACCTCTGGTTCCTCTCCGCTGCAAGTTCTGTGCCAGGTTGTCCCTCAGCTCTTCATTTTCAGAGGTGGCTTTGGGTTTGTTTTTCAGCATGCAGGAGTCCATTTTGGCCCAGGTGCAGAGGGTCATTAAAGGAGAGGTGAGCATGGCCATGAAGGAGCAGCAAGCTGCTGTCACCTCCAGCATCGTCCAGGCCATGCGCTCAGCAGCCGGGACCCCCATCCCTTCGGCTCACTTGGATTTCCAGTCTCAGCAAACTCACATCCTCCAGCTGCTCCAGCAAGGACACCTCAACCAAGCTTTCCAGCAGGTACCAAGGCTTCCTGGCAGCAGGCATCGCTGCTCCCTGGAGCATGGAGGTGGGGGAAAAGGGCTTCTTGAGCTGGGGACCTGATCCCACAGCTTACACAGGAGTGAGCTGGGCTCAGGAGTTCTGAGCTCCCTGGGTCAAGAAGAAAAGGACCTGGTAGAGAGGGAACAGCAAAAGGCTGCAAAGATGATGAGGGGACTAGGACATCTCTCTGATGAGGAAAGGCTGAGGGACTTGGATCTGTTCAGCCTGGAGAAGAGCAGACTGAGGGGGGGATCTTAGTGCTCATCAGTACTCCAAGGGTGGGTGTCAGCAGGATGGGCCAGTGGTACCAAGTGACAGGACAAGAGGTAACGGGCACAAACCTGAACATTGGAAGTTCCATCTAAATGTGAGGAGGAACTTCCTGACTGTGAGGATGACAGAGCCCTGGGACAGGCTGCCCAGAGAGGTGGTGGAGCCTCCATCCCTGGAGACATTCCAAGCCCACCTGGATGCCATCCTGTGCAGCCTGCTCTGGGTGACCCTGCTCTGGCAGGGGGGTTGGACTAGGTGATCTCCAGAGGTCCCCCTTCCAACCCCCACCATCCTGTGGTTCTGTGAAAAACCAGAGATGGGCAAGTTCTGTGACCTGGTGGCAGTTCCTCCTTCCCTCCCTGCCCAGTCAGGCTGGTGCCAGTGCTCCGGGCAGCCCAAGTGTTTTGCCCTCAGCAGTGGCACGTGGTGCAGCCCCAAAGAGCAGGAGCTTCCTAAGCCTCTCCAGGCAGATCTACCAGCTGGGCTCTGACCTTGTCTTTGCCTTTGAACATGTAGGCAGATCTGTTAGAGCTGCTGCAGATAAACTCCTCTGGGAATACCAGCTGTGCCAGGGGGTGCAGAGCTGGCCCTGCTCCCTGCTGCTGCCTGTGACCAGCTCCCCTCTGTCTGGTTGGGGTCTGCTCTCCTTGGAAAGGACATGAATGTCCTTTGAGCACAGACTGAGAGCTCCAATACAGTCCTTGTTGGGTTTGTAGGGAATTCTGCTCCCAGAGGAGGCCAACCAGCCACGGAGCTGCCCCAGGGCAGAGGGGCTGCCTCCTGTTCTGCCCTGGGTCCTTCACCTGCCCCTTGTTTCCTCCTTGTTCCTACCTGTGTCTTCCTTGCAGGCTCTGACAGCAGCTGATCTCAACCTGGTCCTGTATGTCTGTGAGACAGTGGATGCTCAGCAGGTGTTTGGGCAGCACCCATGCCCACTGTCCCAGCCTGTGCTGCTCTCCCTCATCCAGCAGCTTTCCTCGGATCTGGGCACTCGCACGGACCTGAAGTTGAAGTGAGTATGAGAAGACCCCAGAGGCTGAAGCTGGGCAGACTTGTCCCTGCCTCTGGCTTTAACTTCACTGCCTGGATGTGGAAAGTGGTGCTTCAAGAAGGTAGAGCTTCTGTGGCCTGTGACTGGCCTGGGAACAACCAGGAGTGAGTTGGGAAAAGCTGTAGGCATTGCCATGGAAAGCCTCTGCCTGGAAGTACTGTCACCTCCTGTAGTCTGTAGCTATGTGGTCTGTGCAGCCATCTCCTTCCACCATGGGAAAATTCCCCTGGGGAGGTTAAAGAAGAGATGGTGGTGCCATGTTCCCTGGATAGCTCAATATCCAGAGCAGCTTTGCTCTGTCCTCAGTTCTTAACCCATCCCTGGACTTTGTGTTGGCAGCTTCTTGTCATGACTGCCAGACAGCTCAGTGGGAGGTGGCAGCAAGTGAAGGCTCTTGGATGTTCCAAGCAAAGCTTGTGTGACAAAGTAGTGACTGTGCTGACACTTGCCATGAACATTTTTAGTGAGTGACTCAAAACACTGTTATCTGCCCTAAAAAACCCACTTGTTAAAGTGCCTGCAGGTTTGAACCAGAGTTTGTGTGGAAGATATTTTGCACCAAAGTTTTATCTCAAGTTAACAATAGGGGTAAAACAAGCCAGAAAAACTGAAAAAGAGCCTGAAGTTCCAGCCCATCAGAGTTGAAGTTGCTGCTGTGAAGTCCAGGCTGGTCTGTCAGGGAAAACCTTTTGCAGAGACCACGTTGCCTGGCTCAGGCTGGGGTTTGAAACATCTGGCTTGTCTGGAGTTGAGAAAGGCTTGTTGGTAAAACTCTTGCCTTTCCCCACCCCTCTCAAACAGATGTAGTTATATTGGAAGAAGCCTTTAAATATCCCCCTTGATGAACAAGCCTCACTGCTGAGGATTTTACTGTCTAATAAGTGACTAATTCTGCTTATGCTAAAAAAGCAGCAAAGAAGATGTCTACAGAGCTGTGACCAGGCATGGCCTGTGGCCAAGTGCCACCTCCAGCTCTGCAGGGGCTTTGTAGCTCGCTGTGGTGCCCACTTGGTTCAGGCAGCCAGGTTGTGTTCCTCTTTTCCAGGCTGGAAAAGATGTGGGCTGCCCTTGAGTGTTGCAGAAGGGATGGGTGGACACTTCTCTGAGTCCCTAACGTTTATTTCTGTACTGTGTTGGGGTGGGTGGGGGAGCAGAATCCTGCACCTGCAGTGCTCAGATGAATGGAATGGGGTTGGGATCACATGCTGGGCCTGCCTCTGACTCCAGTCTCTTTTCCTTCAGTTACCTGGAGGAAGCAGTGATGCACCTGGACCAGAGCGACCCCATCACCCGTGACCACATGGGGTCAGTCATGAACCAGGTGCGGCAGAAGCTCTGCCAGTTCGTCCAGGTGGAACCTCACAACACGCTCAACAAGCCTGCCCGGCGCCTCATGATCATGCTCCAGGGCCTGGTCACCCCTGGCATGACCTAGGAGGACCTGGCTGCCTCGTGGGCTTCCACAGAGCAGCCCACCCAGCAGCTCCAGTAGATACTAACCACCTATGGCTTGTGTTAAAGAGCTCCTGTCAGGAGTTCTATCAACATGTGTGATGTCTCTAAGGCAAACGCCATCTGTGTATAGTCCCAAATAGTCACTGAACGCTCACTTGGCTTATTTTTCCTAAATAGCCTCTTTTTTGAGAGAGTTAAGTCTCTTCTTCACCTGCCCGTCCGTCCCCCAGGCCTGGCTGGCAGCCCAGGGGGCACCAGCAGAAGCTGCTGGATCTCCTACCCCTTTAGTCTGGAACCTGCTGTTGGGAGAGGGGAGCTGAGCCCTGCCCGGGGCTCCTCCTCCTCCTTGACCAGAAACCAGTCCTGTGTCTTAACCAAGGACTCAACCTCCTCCCCCCTGCTGGGGTGAGAAGCCAGGAGGGTGCCAGGCAGGCAGGAAGGGGCTTTGCTTTGACTCGGGCTCCCCTGGGGTGCAGGCAGGTTTGGGCAGGGGCTGCTCAGGCCTCTGGAGTGACCCTGGGGCTGGAGGGTCAGGCCGAGCTGCACCAGCCCCTGGGAGATCAGTTCTCTTGTGCATTGGAGCATGTCTATGGTTCAGACCTTAGTTTGGGGTTGACACCCCAAAATTTTTCTTTTTATCTAAATTTTGGAAGTTTGTTTTGGTTTGTTTTTTTTTTCGTTTTGTTTGGTTTGGTTTTTGTGTTTTGTTTTTTTTTTTCCAAATAACATTAAAAACAATTCAATAAACGACTTTTTGAGAAAAAAAAAAAAAGAGTGGGAACCTGTTTCTATTGTGCTGTGGAGGGAAGACTGGAGGCCTTTTGGAACCAGTCCTGGAGCACCTGAAATACCTTGGAGTGATGTGCCCTGGGCTGGAGCTGAGGGAAGGGGCTGGGGTGCCCAGTCCCAGATCTGCCCCTTTGGAATATGAGCCCAGCTGGGAGCAGTGGCCCAGGAGAAGCTGTGGCTGCCCCATCCCTGGCAGTGTTGAAGGGCAGGTTGGATGGGGCTTGGAGCAACCTGGGCTGGTGGGAGGTGTCCCTGCCCATGCAGGGGGTGGGACTGGATGAGCTTTGAGTTCCCTCCCAACCCATTCCATGATTCTATTCCTATGAGAGCCGGAGGGGGAGGGCAATTACTAGGAAGAGGGGTTGGGTACCCGCGGGAAGGAGACCTCGCTTCCCTCCTTCCCACCCAGCCCGTCTCCCCCC